TTATTGTAAAAAAATGAAAACTGCTGGACATAGTGGTACATGTCTTTAATCCTAGCACTGGAGAGGCAGAAGCAGGCAGATCTCTGTGAGATAGAGGCCAGCCTGGTCTACATTACAAGTTCCAGGACAGACGGGGCTACAGGGAACCCTTATTGAGAAAGATGAGAGAGAGAGAGAGAGAGAGAGAGAGAGAGAGAGAGAGAGAGAGCAAGTTAAATAAATTTACATGAAATATATATGAATATCTGTAGGAATTCAAGTAAACAAAAATACACTGCAAACACTGGAAACAACTCAGATGGTTTTCAATGGCTAATGAATAAATAATAGTACATCTCTACAATGAAATACTACTCAGCAATAAATTGAATTAATTGGGGCTTTGGAGATGGCTCATTGATTAAGAGCACTGGCTGTTCTTCCAGAGGATATAGATTCAGCTCCCACATAGTGGCTAAAAAACACCATAACACCAAGTTCAAGTAACACTCTTTTCTGGCCTCCATGGGCACTGCACACAAATTGTGTACTTATATACATGTAGGCAAAACACTCATACACATAAAATTTTTTCAAAATTTTATTATTTTTATGTGTATGCATGAATTGCCTGCATGTAGGTAAATGCACCTGTGTCATGCAATGCCCATGGAGGTCAGAAGAGGCTGTCGGATCCCCTGGGACTGGAGTTACAGATAGTTGTTAGCTGCTATGTGGGTGCTGGGATTTGAACCTGGGTCTTCTGCAAGAACTAGTGTTCTTAAGTGCTGAGCCATCTCTTCAGCCCCACATAAAAATTTTTAATTCTTAATTTTTAAAAGGAATGATAATATGGATTACCTCAAATGCACAGTTGTATGTGAAAGAAGCCAGTTTCAAAACCCTACATACTATAGGGTTCATTTTAAACACATTTGGGAAAATGACATAGAGTCAGGAAGAGACAGGATTAGGGTATGTGGAAGGCTGACTACAAAGGTATACTTGAAGCATGGGTTTCATTGAGGTGATGAATCTGTTCTATATTGCAATTGTGGTAGTGATTATAAAAGCCATACTTATATTAAAATTCAGAGAACTTAACACTTACTACAGGCTATTTGAAAAATAACATTACTCTGTTGCTCCCCATAAATCTTGTTTTATTTTAAAATTGTCATTTACTTTCACTTTCCTATTTTTCCTTACCCTATCATGCATATGAACTTCTAGTAAGAGTAGATGTTTGTATTTTTCCAAATATGCAATGTTTTCTCTTGATTTCAGGCCTTCACTCATACTGACGGCTCTACAGTGAAAAATCATTCTCTTGGCAAACTCTCTTCTTCCTTTTTCCAGCTTATGTGAATACACTACTTCTATGAAGCCTACCGTCTCCTGTTCCTGAGCTGGGTTACATGTTGCTGCCACATGATCCCATGGCATATTGTACTTTCTCCTTCAGATCCTCATGTACTAACTGTTACTACATGATCCAGGTTTGGGGACTTTTTGTTTCTGTTTTTTCTCTCCCAATATCCTTGATTCCCACAAGGGCAGGGATAATCTGATACTTGGTTTACTAAGTAATACTTAGAGCTAATGCTATGAAAGACACATAGGAGACCCACCAGAATGATGGCTCTAAAATTTATTTGAATGTTGTATCTTGAGATAACTTGGTTCCACTTGAAAGTAGAAAGCAAACATCGACTACCTTTGCTTACCAAAATAAAATGTTTCACATATACTTTTGCTTGTCATGCCCAATTAAAACTTAACTTTTTTGTCTATCTCATGCTCTTTTTATTGACATATATATTCAATATATTATTAAATATGAACATATTATTCAAGTTTATTAATCTATACATATTATATAAATAAAAATAAAAAATACATAGTTTGGGGTATCATGTAATATTTTCATCCATGTATGTACTGCATATCCAAATCATAGTAAACATATATATATATATCTTCAAACATTTATTGTCTCCTTGTAGTACAAATATTCAAAATCCCTTCTTCTAGCTGTTTCAAAATATACAGTATATTATTATCATTATCTATAATCACCCTACTGTGCAGTAGAGCACCCCTCTTCTCTTCCCTCCCTCCCTCCCTCCTTCCTTCCTTGTCTTCTTTTCATCCTTTGGTTTTGTTTTGGTTTTGTGAGATAGATTCTTGCTGCGTAGCTCTAGCTGGCCCAGAACTGGAACTTGATCTGTAGACCAGACTGCTTTGACGTTGCAGTGATCTTCTGCCTCTGCCTCTCAAGTGCTAGAATTAGACATGCACCACCATATCCAGCAAACATGCTTCTTTATATTTACTTTTAGTTTTATTTTTTTGAGACAGGGTCTCACTATGTAGCACTGGCTAGCCTGGAACATACTATGTAGAACAGGCTGGCCTTTACAGAGATCTTCCTGCTTCTGCCTCCCAAGTGCTGGGATTTAAAAAACCTGTCACCATGCCTGGCTCATTATTTTTATTTTTTAAATTTTATTTCATGGCATTTTAAAAATTGAATTTTTGTGATTTTCAAACAGTATAGTTGGATGACATTTAGAACCATGCCCCTCTCTCCACCTCTCCCAACTGCTTCCTGTCCAAATTAATGAGTATAATTTGTGTTTTCCAATGTCCTTAAGTGAGCATCTATCCACTGGGCCTACCAAGAGTCCCAACCCTGTAAGACACTGTCTTGCCCACTCCTAGCAGTCATCAATTGACAAAAGTTTGTTAGGTTGGGTTGGAATTTCTTACCCACTTCCCCATGTATATGCTGGAACTTTTGCCTGATCTCCTTATGTTCTTGATACCACTAAAATTGCCTTCATTTTTACTGGGCAATCTTTTGAAGTCTCAGTAACTGTATCCAAGAAATAATGCCTTTCCTAGCCCCCCCCCCTTTTTTTTTTGA